AATAAACCTTTTGAAATAATGAAATTATTTCAGGAGTTAATTCTTTAGCCCTTTTTTGTGGTGGAGGAAATTAGAATGACAAATCAGAAGGCAAAGCTGTTTTAGGTTTAAAGAATAAAGAATAGAGTTGATGGGTTTTTGAGTTATTACATATTATTTTTTATATTAGAGAGAATTGAATAACTTACCATGGGGAATAACATAATTTTATAGAAGTAGGCAAATGGGATATTTATAATTATTAATACTGAGAATAATGAACTGATCTTTTTAACTTAATATTCCTTATAATTTTTGAGATGTGTATATTTTAATTAGACAAATTATCTCAATTTAAATTTATTCCAATTAAAAAAAGTTACAAATCAAATTAAACAATATAATACCAATTTTCTGAATTGATGTTATGCTTTTTTGTGAGACATATTGTTACAAGAACAGATTCTAATTATAAATTTCGTATAGAAATTTTAAATATCAAGTTTCCCTGTAAGAATAACGTTTTAAAATTAGTACTTTTTAAAAAATTAATTTCAATCAAAATTTAAAATTATTTGAGCATTTAAGAAAAATATGTATTTTTGAAATAATAAATCTCACAAATTTTTAAATAATTCTGTAATTTATTGGTTTCATTTATAAATTCATTGTCTACCAAATTAATGATGAGATAATAGATATAAGATCAGATTCTTTCATCAAAATCTATTAGTCTAATTTAATATATTACTTTTGATATTATACCATTATGATATTAATCTTCCAGTTTTCTATTGAATAAAATTGAAAAAAGTCAAATTCAACTATCTCAAATACAATCTTAATAACAATTTTTATTTATGATATAGTAAGCAATACTAAAAAAAATTTCAATTTGTAATTGGACTTACTCATATTTAGTTGAACACTTTAAAATAGGTCCAAAGAAGGTTTGAAAGGACCCATAGCTTGCAATTTTATTGATGGTATTTCAGATTTGAAATTACAGATAAAATAGATTTAAAGGTCTTTTTAGGCACCATTAGTGATTTCG